CTTAAGTTGCGCGACTAAAAAATAGGAATCTACATAGTAAACGTTTTACCTCTTAGTGCATCCTTGTAAATATAACCAGACACTTTTTGACAAAAGTTCACACACTGTTTTTTTACGCGCTTTTCTAGGACCCACTAAAGGCCTTCAACTGTCCGGGGCTGCCATACGTCATAATATTCTGGAAGGGGCTGGTTCTCGATCGATGCGATGGCGCTACAGGAAATTCTGTGAAGAACATGGTCAAAACTGTAACAAAAGAGGGACATTATCTCACCTTTTCAACAAATTCCGGAAAATCAGTAACCTTCTCCGACTCCCTAGTGCAAGAGCAGAAGTTGAGGAAGGAAATTGTTTGAAGTGAAAATTTTCGATTCACAAAACCAGTGAATGACGACGGCATACATTCTTATAGTAAACTCTTTCGATGGACAACGTCCAATAAGCTATCGATGTGCAATTTCAAATTGACTAATTTATAGTGATTTGTAAAATCAGTGCATTTATTTGTAATGTAAACATATCCTTCATAGATATTGTTCCAGTATTCTGCGAAATTGTATTGTGATAATGTTCTAGGTTTCAAAAAACCACAAAAGCTGAAGGGGAAACAGTAGCTCATTCTTTAGCACTTTATTGACTTTTGCAGCGTTTGCCGTGGAACTCGTCTGCCCTTCCTGACAGCCTCAAGTTTGCCACCCCCACTATATTTGCTTGATGAACATTGAATTTACGGGCTCTCTTACCTTCACAAATTCTTTAGACAACGCCAGACACACGATCTAAACGCCCGATTAAAAGTGAAAACTTCAGGCGTCGGGGATTGTTAATAAGCAAACTAAGCATGACACCGAGAGCAATATATACTATTCCGAAGGAGATGTTTTTCTTTCCGTCCGTGCTTGATAATTGAAAAGCTGAGAAAATTTTCGAGAAGACGTGGTGCACGTTCTCGAAAAGACTTTTTTGTGTAAGATAGAGAAAAATAGGTCAAGATGCCCTTATTCGCTGGGCCTAAGGCAAAACGGCTTTCGGCGGATGAAATTTGGAAATTATATTTTCCAAAGACAGCAGATGGATTAGTTCAAAGCGAAGTCGCTAACTATTTCTTCACGATAGTTTCGAAGTAACGAGCTAATGAATTACCGAAATCGGCAGGAAATTAGAACGATTGACAACCAGTTCCTTCAGTAGTTTTCAGACACTCAAAAGGAGATAGACGTTCCATTCTGTGTTGGAGTTAGTAAACTTATTACACTTTGACTGATTTCTGTGAGTGAAACGGAAGAGGACTGATTAAAAATTGGATTGCACAGATTATCCGTTATCGCGCAATAAATTCGCGCAGAACGATACATCTTTTTTATTTTAATGTAACAGGAAATAATGGAGTGAAATATACGTTTCTGGCTTCTTCGCCGTAATCTGCCAGCTGGTCCCAAACAGTGGCTCACTTGTGAATTGGGTATTCAAACCCATTCAATACCCACCTTACGTCCTGTGGAAATCGGCTGAAAAACAAGTTTAAGTAACCTTTTAACGCCCTTGGTTTTTGCAGGGAGATTTCCATGACAGGCCAGTACACTTTTCTGTAGGTAGATGATCAGAATTCACCGTACAGACGAATAATATCACAGTATCGGATAAAATAGACAGAGCATGGGGGAAAGATCATGATGTTAAGGCGTGATTTAAAAAGGGTTTCCGGGGTCCTACTTAGGAAGGGAACGGAGTAGTGGGTTTCTAATGCGGTGAACAACGCCACCACATCTAACGTCAAAAGCAGCATCGATAAAATAAGAATTGACTGTGGTCCAATCTTTCAGTTTGTCAGCCGCCAGGCTAAGCCAGTGGTTTTTGCAGTCCCGTTTGGACTATCCAAATGACCTCAAAGACTGCAGGTTGTGTTTTTTGATTCTATGATTCAAAAGTAACGTGATTTTCAGCTATCCTACTCTGTACTTTATTTGAATCTAAAATTTCGTGTTGTCTTTCGAAAGTTGCCAAATCTGCGAAGCACATGACAATTGATGGGGGTAAGTTTATGAGCAGTTTGGGAAACTGAACAGTATGAGTATTTTCGAAACTCCAGACACGCAGTGGTTTGTTTAAGTATCTTGCAAGTACAAGCTGTGTGCAAATGTGCACAATGCCT